TCACAAGGTTGGCACAAACTGTTGCTGGTATGTTGGCCCATTCCTCCATGCAGATCTCCTCTAGAGCAGTGATGTTTTGGGGCTGTCGCTGGGCAACACGGACTTTCAACTCCCTCCAAAGGTTTTCTATGGGGTTGAGATCTGGACCTTGAAATGCTTCTTACGAAGCCACTCCTGTGTTGCCCGTGAGAACTTGCACAATTGGTGGCTGACTAAATACTTTTTTGCCCCACTGTATCTGTTAGTTGAAACCAGCTAATTCTAAGTCCACTCTGTAGATGATTTCATTACGTTTTATACTCTCAGGAACTCCTGATTTACAACTGCTGACTCTCCAAACATTTTGAAAGGATGGTCCACCAAAAAGTTATAGGATTGGCTTGTTTCTTAACTGGCTTCCAACAAATGCATATTACGCCACAGAGCACAGCAACACATGTACCACATTTTTTTTAAATAGCACAAAAACCTGCAATGCAGTGCACCACAACACATAGTAATGATCTATCAGAAAAAATTGTGTAGGTGTAAGGCCTCGTTCACACTGGGCAAGCTGGCATTCCTACCGCAGGAACCCATAGATTCCAAAATAATCAGTTTAAATTCCTAGGGCTGCGGAAATTAACGATTCATTCCGCGATTAATCGTTAAAATTTTTGTTCGATTAAAATGCTTTTGATCGCTAATGAAAATACTCACCTCTCAGCCGGCTTCCGGGAATCTTGTCGGAGATCCGGAGATGTCACGGACATCGACGTCTGCACAGCCGTAAAAGTTGGCAATGGTAGCTTCCATGTCCCTGAAGTTGTTTCTACATCTGCTATTCAGGTTTATAAAAATTATACCACGTTGACGGAACTTTCTTATTCACCTTTTTAGTCTGGTGTGAACCCTTCTTTTATTTTGTTCACACCAGACTGATTTTGCAGTGTGGGTTGACTATTGTGTCACCACTACTCCTTTAGTATACTGGTGATACTGTGTTCTCTCTCTGTGTTTTAAAATCACTTTGATGAATTTTCTTGTTAGTCTAAGATCATTTATTGCAATAATATCTTGGATGCAACTTTGCCTAATTTTTGTCCTTAGTTTCTTAAAGGTTTGTCAATAATTTTGGTAGTGGGATCTTCTTGATCCGTTTTACCTCTTAATGTTTCCTTTTTTTTTTGCAGCAGCAGCAGAGGTGGTCATCACGAAGAAGACTGGGTGCTTCCAAGGTAAGTTGCATATATTGCATATATATTGCTGGTGTATTACCTTGCCTTATGTGGTGAACTAACCTTTTTTAATAAACCAAAAATATTCTGTTTTAGAAGCTTTTATTTTATTAATAAATTAGTATTAACTCCCTGTGCCAGTGAGCTTCAAGGTATATCTGATGAAGGGTTGTGCACCAAGTATAAAGTAGTAAGTAAGAAATCAAAGTGTCCCACTTTCTGTTAGACACGGTCTCTGTTGGACATAACTGGGGTTGTTTTGTTGAGGATGGTAATTATCACCGTTTTATAAAACGTTGGGGCATTTGGAAGTGTGTGGCCATATACACAGTTAATTTATCTATCTTTATAAAAAAAGGAATTCTTGTATACCTAAAAGGCGCTCCGCCGTAAGTGCGAGTGGTCGCAAAACAGGTAAGTCGGTAAGTGAGGAACATCTGTATACTAAAAAGTAAGATGTATTTTGTGGCTTGGAGTATAGCCTTGTCCCCCTGGCTGTGACACATTTAGGTGGCATTCCAATTTACAATGCCAGTGAATATCCACCCCTGCTCTAGAGGTGTCTCAGCAGGAATATCCACCCCTACCCCAAAGCTGTCTTGGTAGTAATATCCCCTTCAGCCGGCATAAATATCCCTACACTGTGTAGGTTTTTTTTTTTAAGCAAGGGTATCCACCTCTACTCTAGACGTGTTTCAGCAGGGATATTCACCCCTACTCTAGGGGTGTCTGGCGAAAATACAGGAAGCAGTGAATTTGCTACACTGTGGATTTTCAAGCTGTTAACAACTCGCCATCATGTCTTTTCTCTTTATACTATGATAGTACACATTTGAATATGCCAACACAAAAAAAAGAAAATCACTGTGTTTTTAATAACTTTAATGTCTGTCAAAATGGATGGGAGCACACTATCTGCAATTGATCTGCAGACCATAAACAGTCCATATATAATGATGGTCAGAATTACACTAAACTAGAATTAAACTATTACTAAAGGGCTGATAAACTAGAAACAAAATGATAATTTAGGGAAAAGAGCAGTAAATCGCATTTATATAAATGCATGCACATTTACCCAAATGTCTAGAAAATAACATAGTTGTCTTTGCTGCTTAGCCTATTCAGTGTTAGCTATTGTTCCATGTAAAGGAAGGTTAAGGCTGTGCACACATGGGCGATTTTTTCTATATTGATCATCTCTCATGAACACCCCACGAGCTACCACAATCAATTGCTACACCTGCTTGTGCATGCAATAGTGACCACCCCAAATTTGGAGCATTGTACTACTATTATTGATTGATCACTACTACATGCTGCACACCCTAGACATAGGAATCACGTGCAATTAATAGCGGGGCAATCACGGGTGATGGGTGACCTGGTAAATATCACCTGGGTGTGCCCAGCCTAAAAGTGATATAGTTTGTAAACTTTCAAAGAGTCTCTGTACAGGAAGTCAGCAAAGTGTGGAAAATATCTGCCCACTGTCAGAGGATTTTTAAATTGATGAAAGTTATAAAATATACTCTGTAATTGAGTAATTTGCAAAAAATAAAAAAAAGGCCTGTGGTAGAGGCTCAGACTAACCCTAAATATAATAATAAGTATAATATTATAATGAGTCACAAAAATAAAATCTGAAAAGTTATTGAAGAGTTAAAGTTTATCAGGAATATTTTAGCGTAGAGGTGATAATGCTATTCAGTAGCAACTCACTAGAGAAGTGTGACCCTTTGAGTAATAGTCTGTCTGGGTTTAGGAAATCAGACAGTGTTTGTGCAATCTGCTCTCTGGAGTCCAAATTAGCTAAGAGTCTGCCTTTCCATACCGTTGCTTGTCTTCTGGTTTTTTTTTTTTACTACAGAAAGTTGTTGTTAACCTAGATAAAAGTGCATCGTGCTGGCAGATCAATCCGTTCCCAAGGCTCTGGCTAACATCTCAGCATCCCACTAATAACATGCAAGCAATGCAATACCAGAGTTTGATGACTTATTAACTAATGAATAAAGGTTGTTTTCCTGCTTCCAGGTGCAGAAGTGGCTATGAAATGTTGAGTTATGTCAGGAAATATTTACCATACGGCACTTGGGTCGGTACCTGAAACCGCATAGGATAAGGTGCAGTGCCAATACTGAAAAAGGTCACTTTTCAATTTTTTTACCCCCTCTCATCTCGCAGCAGCAGGACACAGGTGTAAGGGTTTTGCTGATGTGCAGAGGGAATTTAGAAGGGTCTCTGAAGCTTGGGTAACCCCCATCCATCATATCCTTAACCAAGGTTCTCCATTAAAGGAATGTACAATGTAATAGGAGTATTTAATAAAAGAACACTTGGAACGATTATGCTACCAATGCAAGCTTACATTAATTTGCACCCTAGTATTCACATAGTATGTCAAAAGGGTTGAGGATTTTTTAACCTCATTTTCATATGCTCAGGGTATCACGGGTCTAATCAACCCTATTTTTCTTTTTTGTTTGTGAATTTGCATATATAATGAATGATTGCATGTCATCATGTGCGTATCTCTCCTTTTGTCATCGTTTTTGATATCGCACAATACCATGCATTATTATAGTTTGACCAGCAGAGGGTAGCAAATCCTAACGTGAACTAGTGTGAGCTACACAGGTTCTTCTTGCCGAGCAGGGTTTATAGTGTTTGAATGTATGGCAATTTAACTCGGTAAGGAATTTCCCATAATGCTTTAGAAAACCTGACAAACAGTTGTATGCTTTAGTTTATTGATTCTGCTACTGCGCTAAAACAGCAGTACATCAATAACTATCTTTTAGTTAGGAAACCCTGGGCTGTAGAGGAGTACGAGCAGTTAGGAAAATAGCGCTGAGGCAAGAGCGGAAAAAATGTGAGCATGGGGAATACTGGTTCCACTGGAGAGATGAGAGGCTGAGGAAATGCAGCAAGAGAAATTATATGCCGTACAGGCCTCTCATGCATCAATGGCAGCAGAAGGAGAAAAAAAGAAGCTGGCTCTTATGGGAATGGACTTCAAAGATATAAAACTGTGTTATAAAGAGAGGCCTAATGGCTTACAGGTCTTGTTGGTATTGCACCTTTCCGTCATTATACTTAGCTTAAAAACTGTAACAAGAATATTTACCTTTAACATTAAATTTGTGTTCCTAAACTGTGTTGTACAAACTCTACTGCCTTAAGCTATAATTCCCTAAAAGATTGTTTCATCATAATAATGCAAAGAGCAATGTGGCCCAAAACATTCATGAAACCGGCATTCAGTAGACATGACTTTAAATTAAAAGGTGTGCTAATTTTTAAAAATACTCCTTTGCTGAGAGAAATAAGTTGAATGCCAGTGCCGAATTTAGCTTCTAAAAATGCTAGTTTTCTGGCTTGCAAACATTTATTGGATACAACACTTATGCTAGGTAATTATTGGTATCAATAATTCTATTGCTAGGGAATGCTAGGTTACCTTTAACAGCTTTACATGCAAAATTCCACTATACCCTCAGAAGCTTATCTGCATGCTGACTGCTGTGATGCTACAGTCTTCACTTTTTTATTTCTGTATAACTACCTGACTTGCATATGCTGGAGAAAAATGTGTTTCCTATTCCACAATCACGTATGCTGGCCACATAATACAATCATGTCTTAATTTTTAAAATACTTTTAAATGGGTTGCTATAAACTTTAAAGATTCTGCATGGCTCACTTGCCATATCAATCCATAGGAGACTCATATTCAAGTGTCTGTAGTCCCTGGTAATCAGGTCATCCCTTTCATCCCTTAACCAGGCAATGAAACATGAAAACATAATCTGGCTGGATTACATGGGCCTCACAAACTCCTACATTTGAAAGCATTTATGTTTATATGAGACCAAGAATTCCTGTGACCATAAATCTCTGAAGGTGGAGTAGACAGTCCCCAACACCCTGAATAAACTAAATGATCTATAATATTAGTTTTATAATTCATATTCAATTTCATTCTTGCATATGTGTAAAAATAAAGCAAACTGACCAAACTGAGGTCAAGAAGTCTCTTCCTCAAATTCAGGATCGCATGAGGTCTGTTGATATTCATCATTGATTTCATGGCACTGCACTCGTTTTGCTGATCCAGAATCCTGACCGTTATAAACAGCAATGCTCTTCATACCACGCGGAAAAACAAAGTATGATGACATGAGTGTTTCTATGTTATGTTACACACTTTAGCCCCCTTTATTCCAATGTCTAAAGTGCTTAAATGTTTGCCCACATGTGTGTACATTTAACTGTGTGGACTTTTAGAGAACGTGGCTTCATGTAATAGGTGAAATCCAAACTCCAGCTGTAAACAAAGGATTTGTAATTCTGCTCAGCCACTTTTGTGATTCATACACTTTTGCCAGAGAGCACAGGCAGGAGGGTAACCTCACTGTCTCTATTGTCTCTTCATCTTCCCACCAGAAGACCTCTAAATAAACAATAAAAGCCAAATTCTAGAAAAAAAAGCTCCCCTTGCAGTAGGGTTGCCCCACAATGCAAGGGCTAAATGCTTGTTTAGGTCTAGAGTACCTGGTAAAAGGACTTTTATGCACCTGATCCCCGCTCCTGCAGACAAGAACCCGCAGCCTTTCCCCCCTATGATCTGGTGGTAAGAGGCCTGCTGATGTCATCAAGTACAATGCAGGGACTATAGCCTGCATTATTCGTGGGGACAGCAAGGACAGTCTACAAGCCAGAGCGTAGAAAATAAGAGGTACGCGTCGACTGCAGGTGGAGTGGGGATCCGGTAAATATAAGTGTTTTATCTGATCCCCTCGACCTAAATTAGCTTGCAGTGCGGGGGTGGAGTTTCTTTTTCACCTGGAAGTTTGAAGGTGCAGCAACACACATATCATCATTTCCATCCACTCTATCTTATTCTTTCAGTTTGTTTCCTGTTAACACACATGTTGTACTGCAGAGCCTGATTAGATTCTAGTGCTGCTCCTTCCTCTCCCAATCTGAGTGCTGCTGTACATCAGATTGCAGAGTCTGATCTAAAGAGATGTTTGGGTATTGGGTACTACTAGTAGCATAGACTGAAGTGAAGACAGGTTCAGATTTTAGGTACTTCTAGTACTATGTGATCGTATAATACATTATTTTTAAAGAAATACAGAACTACCGTACATTAAATGGTGCTTTTATAATTGGCCAGCATTTAGCTATAAATGAAAAGTTGTGCTATTTAAAAATAAAATAAAATGAGAGAAATATGTTGGGTGCCAGTGCTCAACTTACCTTTTGAGAATGCTAGCTGCATGGCCTGCTGGCAGACTTTTATTAGATACAATACCTATGCTAGGTAATTATTGCAATCAATATTTGTATTGCAAGGGAGCGCTAGGCAGAGTTACATAGAAAACTCCACTATACCGTCAGAACCCTAGCTGCATGCTGGATGCCGTGACATAAGTCCCAGCATCACATTTACATTTCTGTATCACTGTCTGATTCAGATATACTGGAATAAATGTGTTTTTTATTCCACAATCACTTATGCTGGGCCCAGATAAAATCATTTAAATGTTATAATATTTTTTGTTCATTTCCTCCTTTTTGTAAAAACTTTTTGATTTTTTTTTTTTTTAAGTTAAACAATCAAATTTATGATTTCATTGTAACTAATGGGGACATATGTAAACAATAGAAAGAGAAAAAAGCATGTGGAAAATGCAGTAATTTATAGCAATCAACCAGAATTTAATTTGCTCTAGTCACATCACTAAAAACTTTTGGTTGGCTGTTGTGGATTACTTACACTCTGCCTAGATAAAGAAGTCAGGCTGTCAATGACAATATAATAAAAGCTATATGGCCTACTAGCAGTGAAGGGGTTATATTAGAACTGTTGTAGGATTATGTCTGCAAAATAGGTCAGATATTGGTGTCTTTTGAGAAAAATGAACAAAAGCAGCAGAGGAGGAAAGGGGGGAGAGCTGTGCGGCATAACATGGAGAGCATCACTTCAAACATGTCTGCGGTAAATGCTGAAATGTTCAAAGTACGACAGAGAAAGATAAAGCCTTTGATGGGAAGTGGATGTTTCCCAGGGACATTACAAGCAGTAATCCAGATGTTCTGCTGTAATGCAATGAGTGTCCATGGATAGATGCCGAGCTCAGCCAAGTACAGCCTGCTGTAGACCTGAGCCCTCCACTCCCATGCTGTTCTGCCATATGGAAGTAATCTCCAGTCCCCTTTTAATAGCCAGCATTGGATTCCATTTTCACAAGGCTCGCACAGTTAAGTGGAGCTGTTTTATGGACAACTTAGATAGAAGCGCTTCCAAGATAAACATTCGCCCTGAAATTAGGACATACCAAGCCACAGAATTATTTTAGGACATATTTCATAGTCAAGCTGCCATTTCACTGCAGCAGCTGCCAGACTGTAGGATGCGTCTTTGATCCGTGCAGGACAACGCTCCCAATCACATTAGAGAATTTACACAAAATAGAGAGTGCGCACAAAAATGGCATGCTTTCTGACTCTCAGATATTTCCTTGGAACCGATCCTTAATCCTTTTGGTCCTTGTTTTTTTGTTTTTGTTTCTTTCTTCTCGAACATTGTGGCAAGTAGGGGTGACTTGGTTGTTAATACAAAAAAGCATTCCGTTTTGTTGATGACGTACTTTGGCATTTGACTGATTTGGTTTATTCAAAATACATTTGAATGTATGTAGGAAAATAATTGGCCTTGCTACTATGACGTTTATCATTACTATTAGTCTGTGCTTTTACCCTTTGACATTGATATTTTGTGAATGCAACTTCAAGCAAACCACTAAATATGCATGTGACATGCATCTATGCTTTTTTTTACCTGTAAATGAATATTCATTTTTGGTCATCCATCCTTAAGATGCCACACTGCACAACCGGGCAGGTGACACAAATATTTACTTTTTTCAGAAATGCAGAATCCTGTGTCAGCTGCTTCTTACCACTGGTGTCAGCCCAGTCTGGTGTTCCAATTGACACTGCTATTGTCAGACTTCCCAAGCACCACCTCATCACACCAGTAAATCTCCTGTTACCACTTTACCAGCTACACAGATGCCCCAGACACGTTAAGGCTTTCTTGCTGCTGTAAGGTGCTTATCTGAATGAAGTCTCCCAGTGCTGTACCCCAGTTTGTTGACTTTATCCGTGTGCTTGTATTGAGTGGATCTGTGTATTTGATGTACGTTGTTTTTTATTTCAGCATATCATTTTTATTGAGCATTACAAACATTAAATTCACAGTAAGAAAATATACATGTTGTATAAAATTGATTCTGGAGATAAACAAAAGAGAAGAAAAACTGTGAGTGAAGTGAGCTAAAGGAGATGCTGGTCCAGTGGGGTTTCGCAAATAAAACCGTAAAAAACGTAATTGGAAATAAAGAATACATTCAAATCAGTGGGTTTGAGTGGGAGTCCTGAGTCAATACAGGAACATGTTATGAGTCAAAGTGGTTTATTATGAAGGAAATGTTGAACGAGCCCAGGTCTATTTGTCCTAGCTCAGGATCTAGATAGGAAGTATCGGAGAACATTTTGCTTTCCCAAAGTAGAATAGAACCTGAGAAGTTTGGCTCTATTGTACTATGAGCTATTATGAAAAATGAACATTATCTCTTTCTATGGTCATTTCCTGGCCCAACCAGGTATCAAAATACTTTTTAGTGTGTGATAGGTTATATTTTGTGTCTAGTGTCATAAGATGTGATAGTATGTGTTTCAGGTCAGCATCTAGTTAATTTGAATCATTGTTTTTCACTAGGCAACCTCTATGCAGTCCCTGCAGTTGTCAGAGTCCCTGAGAAAGAACCAACTCTGGAATGGAACAGTTAGCATTACTTTATTGGAAGGAATTAACCTGCCTGATGGAAGCACCGATTCTTTTGTAAGGTTCAGGCTCGGAGATCAGAAGTACAGAAGCAAGGTAAATGTCATAGCTCATATTCCATACTGAACTATGTGAAAATTAACTTGTAATAATTAAGTTGTGTAATTTTTATGTCCATTTCTCTGTTATACTAGGTGTTAATATTCATTAGCACATTACTAATACCTGGGTGCAGCTTGAATTTCCCTTGAAATAGCAAAGTCCACTACATAGCAGGTTTCTAAATGTAATGCAGACCTGCTTTGTGAGCATTCGCTACCATCTATGAGGCTAAGTTGTGTAATCCTGTAATTTGCCTTAAACGAAAGAATGGATTCTGATTGGTTGTATTGCTCTAGTTCCTTGAAGAATCATTGGAACGTGAAGTGGAACTCACAAAGGTTGAAAACCACTGGTCTAAACCACCACATTTTTTAGTAATTTAATGCAGCTGTATCGAAGATGGGGTCACTAGCATTTCTGTTGCAAGATATTAAAGAACTGCTCCATTAGAAACTTAATTTATTCATGTAGAATCTATGCAGTTACTCTGTGGTAATAGCCAAACACCAGAATCCCACTGCTCCAATTCTATCTTCGATCCTCTATGATAAAGCCCATGTGGTAAAACCCATAAAGAAGATGGTATGGGGCAGTGTTTGGAGAATATACTCATGGTCTTATGTTGGATTAACTACAATAAAACTTGATTTGATACATACACCTAAGCACGACTGATATTTGATGATTTCTCTGTGGTAATGTATGTTGCATAATGCTGCCAACTTGGAGGCGACTGTTACACAAGGGTCAAACATCTGGTTTGTCAATAGGAACCTGCAGACATTGCCTGCCTATATATTGGGAGGAGGCAGGGTATGTTGACTGGTTTAGTTTTCACATCTGATAAGCTAGATTTTCCCTAGATGGTAGTAGCAATGCTAGCTAGCAGAAAAGTTACCATTTGGTTGTCGGATCATTTATGTACTTTCAACCACTGCCTAATGTATATGACTGACATACAGTACTTTATTCCTTTCCTGGTCTGTAATTCATTGTATGTTGCTGTAAATGTGATTGCAAGAATGTAGTGTTCGGTCTTTTAAGCTAATCAGACCAATGACTGGGCAAAAAAGAGATACTAGAGGTTTGAATAGAGTATAGCAAATGTTACAGCAGACCCTCTAGCAAATATTAAACACCTTTGCATTGAGTTATGCATTTATTCACACTTATTAAATACTGGTAGAATAAACCTGAATTCTGACCTTACCCGTGCATTGCTTTTCTGACTGTTCTAACTAACAGCCCAGTTCAAGGGTCCAGACTATGGATTAGAGGACCACATGGTGGACTAGAATACCTTCAGGAGTAACCATATGCTCCTCTTCATATTCTGTCACATCACCATTCCACCTTGAATTTCAGGGACCAATGATTGTGTATCAACTAACAATAATGGTGCCCTCATTGGCTACTGGGATTGCTGGGGGATTAGCAAGACTTCTAAGACTTCAAGACTTCTGAGTTAAGCTATGTACTCATGAAGCATAAGCAAAAGACAATATGGTTACTGATGAGGTAATGATGAAGGTGTTTTTAGGCATATTGTGGTACCTGATTTGATATTGTGCTGTTAAATAGCACAGTTCAAAATGTATCCCCTGCATACTTAAATCAAAATGAGATTTGGAGCCTCTGCAGTATAAGCCATTCAGACATAATTTCATTGCACAATGCTTTTATGTGACACACACTGGGGCCTGGGAAAGGAGTTGATGTGGATTATAGGAGGTGGAAAAAAAGTGCATTGATAATCATTCAAAGCACGATATACTGGCTGGAAATTGTTAGGTGACATTCGGTGAAGATCTAGAGCTCCTGAAAAGTGGCATCACCCTCGGGTTTTGTAGTTTAGCTTGAGTATGTAAAGCATGAACCAGTTACTAGTATTGTAGCTGGTAAACCTTTCACATACATGTAAGTCAACTGTATATTGAGCGAGTGGTATGACTGAATTCTTGCTTTAAAAGTATAATGAACTTGGTAATATTTCATACAAATATTGATGAGTGATTGTCATTCATAAATGTTACCACTGCATGTTTTCTAGACCCTGTGTAAGAGTGGAAATCCTCAGTGGAGGGAACGCTTTGATTTTCACTACTTCTCTGACAGGATGGGAATTTTGGAGATTGAAGTGTGGGGACAAGATAGCCGCAAACATGAGGAGCTGCTGGGCTTGTAAGTGTGCTTTGTATTCATTCCATGTTTTGATTTCCATGTATATTTTCTGTCCAATGCAGCTGTTAAACAAGTGGAAAAAGTACATTACATTATGCAAAAGGGAGTCCAATAGTCACAATGGGGTCATTCATGCAAACTGCTGCAAAATTGGAGCTGTTGCCCACATCATCCAGTTGGATTCCTTCTTACATTTAAATGATAAAGCTTGATAGGTTGCTATGGGTAACATCTAAAAAAACTGGCACTCATTTTCTTAAATTGGGCCCAATTTGATTTAGAGATCACATGTAACTTTTAGCGCCTATTAGTTTCAAATGTCAACAATCTTGAAACCTCATACATTATCAGAGAAGCCCTAATGAGGCATTGCAAATGTGACACCTTACTAGTTATTTGCAGTTTTGCTATGGTTAAAGCTGATCTAATTGTCACAAACTAGAAAAGCTTTCAATATTAATAGCAGGAAAGTTAATGTTAAATAAAATGGCTTCTTTTTCAAGAAGGCAAACAGTGTCATGTTTTCAAGCAAGCCAATCCTTGCCTTTCCTTTCCCAATGTGTTGCTGAGGAGCGTTCTGAATCCAGACATATGATGTATGCTACATTACATTTTTGTAAATGTAATAGGTTGTTGATTGTATTGTGGGCTGTGGCGGGTATATGCTGTAGCGTCAGCTTTTGTAGCTTTTAGTTAAACTTTCTTACTTGTGCCTTGGTTTTAGGGACTTCTGTGGTGCACCTCTGGAACATTTTAGATACAAAGTCATCAGTTGGCACCTTGTGATGTCAGGTCTTGATTTTAAAACATCATTAAGTTTAGTGACAGGTATATTTTACAGTTATGGACACTGGATGTGGCACACACATCCAAAATGACTTCAGAGAAGTACACAGGATGTGTCGTACATCCTGTCCTTTTCTGCTAATGCCGATCCTCGCACTTGCTGACAAAAGGACAGTTGGTGAATATATCTTCCTTATTTTCGTGCCTAGACCAAATAGACCACCTAACCCTTGCAGTGCGGGTGTAGCCCCACTGCAAGGGTTAATTTGTAAAAATCCTGAAGTTTTTCATTTTTTTTCTCTCCCTTTTTTATTTTATTTTTTTTTGGTTGTTGCATAAAAAATGCAACATTTCAAAAAGGCTTTACAATGCTTTACAAACTTTACAATGCTTTGTATTATAATAATAATTTGTGTCCTTTCAAGCACCACAAATTATATAATCAAATTTTTATTTATAGCAACAATTATTCTTTTTAGAATGAACACTGATCAGGGTAAAAAAATGCTTTTTTTTTAGTTTTGCTATATTTTTAGGTTCCATATAAAATAATAAAATTATTTGTGCAGGGCAGGAACACCCCAAAAAGCCTTGTCTGTCCTAAACAAACAAACAAACAATTACCCTATCTTAAAGGAGAACTATGGGGGTCAGTGTTTTTCCCCATAGTTCTCCTTAGGGTAACGGGAGGACACAAACTAGCGTCCTCCCGTTACCCTAAGCTCAGTATACCGCGAGCTACAGCTCGCGGTATACTGAGACACCGCAGACGGAGCGGATCCCGACGTAGATGACGGGATCCGCCCAGCTGCATGAGTGACAGCTGGCTCTGCCTATCTAGAGGCAGAGCCAGCTGTACCCGCCCCCTTCCCGGTCCGTTCCGCCAGTCAGCGCTGGCAGGTCGGAGTGGGGAGAGGGGAATCCAGCCCCTCCCCCTGTCACGGCAGAGAGCCATGACAGGATCGAGAGGTGAGCGAACCTGGTATGTGTTCGCTCACCTCCCGATCTACTGAGCCGACCTGTGACAGTCTCATTGTCACAGGCCGGCTAGAACTATGAGGTGAGTGGAAATCACTCATCTCATAGTTCTCCTTTTTAAAGCGTCATTAAACCTTCGTTCCTTTTTTTTATCTTCTCGTTCTCTAGTGGCATCCAGACCGCTGTGCCCCCCTTTATGGTGCCTCCATCTGTAGCCGACTGCTGTGGAGGCACCTGTATGTGCACAATCATGGCCGTGCCTGCACCTAGCTGTGTGCGGCCGGCTAAGCCCCCACCCTTGCAGTCACAGCTTGATTGACGGCAGAAGAAGCCTGTGGCTTTTTTGCCCTCAGTACCTTCCCCCGAAACCAGGAAGTTCGGGGAACCCTGAGTATCTTCTGAGTCGCATTGGGGGAGACGAGCGACCATAAGTAAGTGGGGGGATGGGGGTGTTTGAAAAGTGCTGGGTGTTTTTTTGCCTTAATGGAGTGAATGCATTAAGGTAAACACAGCCTTTAGTAATACTTTAGGACCTAGCTCAAAATTTCCACTCGCCCCCTCGCAATTGGCGAGTGAAAATTGCGTGGGGGCGAGTGGAAATCCAGGGGCGGAACTGCCGCCACTTCGGCAGCGGTGATCGCTGTTTCAGTTTTCTCTATAGCAGAAGCGGCTGTCGGCTGATGAGAAGAGAAAACTGACACAGCGATCACCGCTGCTGAAGAAGTAGAATCAGTGCAGCACTGCGGCTGTCCTCACTCCGGTGTTCTATCTAAAGCTCACCAGTCTTTCTGGGCACCAGAAGTGAGGTAGTTAAAAAAACCAGGGGCGGACTGCCCGAGGACACGCAGCCAACAGGGTCCCGTCACTGATTGCTGCTTCACTTTGTTGCACTCTGCGTTGTTACTGATCTCTGTACTCTGTGTCACACCACTGACCTGACGGAGTTAAGGCAGGGGTTAGGTGGGGTAACTGGTGGCGAGTAACTCTTGAGGCCTGGCTAGTAGCTCAGGACTGGAAATTTTGAGCCCTGCTTTAGGTAATGACAAAGGTTTTGCCAAATAAATGGGCCCATAATGGAAATGTTAAAATTTCTCTGGTCCATGGAAGGTGTACAGATTTAAGAGCTGATCTGGTTAAATAAGATCTCCATTAAATGCTTTTCAGGAGTTTTGGGACTTTAATATTTTTAGTTGTATGGCTATCTCTACTCCACAACATGCCATAGATAAGATTTCCCTTATCATGCTTTTGGCAATGTGTGTTGTTTGTCAGCAAATTATAATGAAGGCTTGGGCAGGAACAGTTAATTTGAGTGTGTGGCAGGTGCATATTGGCTTACCCATTGCATTCAGTAAATAGTCATATTTAGCAATTTAAGTAGTTTCCAGAGATTTAGGGATGTTCAGATACCAAGAAACGTACTTGGTACAGATACTGATACTTTTCCAGCTCCAAGACAATTCTAGAGAGAAACTCAAAAGTTAGGAGGCAGCTGTCATTTTTAAGGAGCATTGTCAATGGGGCTCCTGGGATTTGTGCATCCCTGTTTTAATGTAGAATTTGTTTTATATATGCTTATTAGGGATGTACCGATACTTGTCCTCACAGATACAAGTACTGATACATTTTTGTTTATTGTCATGTGACTGTTTTTCTAAAACAATACAGACTAATGATTTCAGGACAGTGGTGGAGCGCCAGGGCCCAGTCTAAGCTGCAAACGCTGCAACACTGGTAGTTTTCGTGAAAATGCCAAGTATCGGCACTGGTATCTGAAATGCTATCTGAACATCCCTAGATTTAGCCATACCCTTGTTTTCAGTTGGTCTAGTTGTGCTGCTTTATTATTTGCTATTTTGTCTGGATCATTGGAAGTAGCAGCGTACTTGCTTCTATCTAATTAAAAAAAGACTTCTATTCTTTGAATATTTCCCCCTTTTTAGTCAAATAACTTAGGATACCTAGTAGCATTCTGAATGAAAATGGCTCAGATTTACAACTTGAAATATAGTGTTAGAAGCTATTAGGAAGAGTTATTTCTGTTTTCTATAAAGTTCCAAATACTTTTCTCCATGTCTGCGGCCTAAAAGAACAAAATGGCACTTGGTAAAAGCTTACTACAGTTTTAGATGGTCCATAGATCATCTGGCTGTCTTTTCATGTCAGGGCTTGCAAATTAAAGAAGTTTATCATTGTATACTAAGTAAAGTAGACTGTAATTTACTGCCTTCCATTAGAAACATTATGGAATTTGATCTATTGTGATGCATTGTACTGTCTGAGTATCCGTATGGTAAATCTGACAATATCTTCTAATTTAGGTGTAAAGTGGATATTGCTGCATTGCCCAGTGAGCAAATCAATCGCCTGGAAGTGCCCCTGGAGCAGAACCAGGGCTCTATACACATGATGTTAACTCTTACACCCTGCTCAGGAGTCTCAATTTCTGACCTTTGTGTTTGTCCGCTGGCGGACCCAGGAGAAAGGGAGCAGATTATGGAAAAATATGTGAGTATTGCTAATCCCCGATATTTATAGGCTTGCAAATATCCACATGCTAAGTGATGATAGTAGATATGGCTAATCGTCTTATGTAAGTAGGATTTTTGAAGTCCAGGTAGCTGGACTACCGGAAAAAAGAAATCTCATATTTTGTTAACTTTGCACTAAACATGGTTCCAAAGCTTGTTGTTCACTACTTTGCAAAGTAAATGTTAGTAATTAAAGGAGTAGCTATGTCCACTTTCAATTCTCAATGATGTGCAGGTGTAAATCAGCCCGGTCTGAGTAAATATTAAATCCATATGCTGACCAAATGTTCCAAAATATGAAATGGCATTAAGTCACATTATGGAAATTTTTGCCATTTTAAGATAAAACAGTCCATCATGTCCAGTTCTCAAGGATTGGTATATTTGTTGATCTCCAAGTCTAACATTCATTACAATCTAGCAAGTAAGTCCTACTACAATCTAGCAAGCAAAGCTACTAAATTTAAACATGTTCACATTGCAGGTGAGGAGATTAAGGGGGGATATGATCTCAATGTACAAAATGGTCAATGGTGGTAGCAACATTAGCGATAAACTTTTTAAAATTAACTCCATTACAAAAACTAGAGGCCACCACCTAAAATTGGTGGAAAAAAAATTCCAGCACAAGGGGCGAAGGGGGTTCTTCACAGTAAGATCAGTTAGGGTCTGGAACTCACTGCCACAGGCGGTGATTTCAGCAAATAATGTGGAATTGTTCAAGAAACTTTTGGACGATTTCTTAAGGGACCGTAATATACAGGGGTACAGGTACTCCTAGAATGAGATCCTAATAGGTTGGACTTGATGGACTAATGTCTTTATTCAACCTCAAATACTATAACTATGTAAGTCATTATGAGATTGCGAGATAACTCAAGAAGATCAGTACCAAATAATGGCACCTACTTCAAATACAATTTCAAGACATATTCCTAAAATAATTAATTCTGTTTACAAAATCCTAGGAGAATCACCTGAAATAACCAAATGATCCACTACTTTTCCCACAGTCTTGTTTCTATGCTCAACTTAAGTCCATGAGAAAGGGAAGACATATGACATTGTCTGTCTGCCTAGAGTTTTTGAAAGTAAAGCTTGCAGATTTTTATTTTTGTTACATTTGTTCTTTGTTTTGTTTTTGCTTCTTCAGTGCTTGAAAAACTCATTACAGAACTTGAAAGATATTGGTTTCCTGCAAGTTAAAGTACTTAAAGCAGAGGATCTCCTAGCTGCAGACTTTTCAGGTGTGTAAATATTTACATGTTTATTTTTGATCAGGTTCCTGGATTTGATGTTAATGGTCATTTACAGTATTTTATATTTATTTATGTCCAGATCTCAAGAAAGCACAGCTTTATAAATATTTCACACTTTTATGATAGCTCCAGGCTCCTATTTACATGTTTGCTTATTTTTAGCCACTGTGTTAAAAAAAAAACTGTTTACAGTACACTATAGCTCAAGCTCACAAGGAGTTACATATAGTATAAAGAGAAAGTATGAAGGCAAAGCGTTTCTGCTTTGCTCTCTCACTAGAAAACTCCCTAAAGTTCTGTCAAAATTTTTCTCAGGACAGATTGGGCTTTAATTTAATAGCAGATTTGCATACTTTTTATTTTCAAGGTTTTAATTGGGAGGAAACGGGGAAAAATGTAAAATGTGTTTTACTGTAATTCTTCCCAACTCCAATATTTTTTTCATAATAAGAGCAGCCCTAGATATGTTCCCTAAAATGTAACCAACAAATCCTGCTGATTGTAAATTTGCATAAGAAATCGTAAAGAAATTGTAAGATTACCAAGTTTTACTTTAGGAGAAGTTTTTCACTTTCAACGTTGCATTGCAACACAGGAATTGATAAATAATCGATTTGCCTAAATTGTTAGTATAAGATTCAGACAGGATCAAGTTGGGTTGGCCACAATGCAGATTATCACAACGGTAGCTTTTTTACAGGTTTGTGGTTGCTAAAAGGAGAAATTAAGCTATGTTTGTGTGAGCTTTTAGCACTTATACAGTAAACGCAGATGTAATTCAGATCATGAAACTATACTGTTGGGAAGTCAATATAAATCTTTATTTTTTTGAAATGTTTTTTGAAGCAACATCGCTATATATTTCCAGAAGGGCCATATCTTAGGGCATTCCCAAAATATATGAAGTAGACTACCCCTTAATATCAAACATCTCCAGCATACTGATGGGAGCGAAGGATTCATGCGGTTCAACAATTCTGGGGTGCGATACCAATGGTAGATAATTTTGTACTGATTTTCCTGATATAAAGTGCAAATGGAGGTCTTTCTGGCATTAATCCAATATAAATCTTTAAACATATATATACACTACTGGTCAAAAGTTTTATTGAAATGTAAGCACTTCTAGTGAGTCCAGTCCAGTGAATGACCTGAAATGATACAAAGGTGCGGTAAACAGCCAGAGGTAAAAAAAATTAAAGTTTAGTTTAACAAAAACGGAAAAATACTGTATATTTCAGAGTTATACAAAAAGGCCTTTTTCAGGGAAGAGGAAATGGGTTAGCATCTCACAGTTGTTCTGCAGCACTAAGTAAATTAAGCCTTGAAAGTTTAACAATTCCTACAGGTGTCCCAACTTTTGTTGATTACTCACAAGCCCTCTGTATAAAAGCAGTGTTGGAACAGACTGTGTTACTATAACCTATAAAGCAATATTTGGACAGTATTGTACAGGAAGTAGTATATTCTCAAAATGGCGAGAAAAAGGCAATTAACAAATGAAGGCAGACAGACCATAATAACCCCTAAAAGCTTTGCATTGCACTTGGTGATGTAATTGTATGCAGTTGCTCGGCCATGGAAACCCATTCCATGAAGCTCTCTGTGCACTGTTGTTGTGCCAATCTGAAGGCCACACGAAGTTTAGAGGTCTGTAGCTATTGATTCTGCAGACAGATGGAGACTTCTGTGCGCTTCAGCATGCGCTGACCCCGCTCTGTCATTTTACGTGGCCTACCACTTTGTGGCTGAGTTGCTGCTGTTCCCAGTTGCTTCCACTCTGTTATAATACCACTAACAGTTGACCGTGGAATACTTAGTAGCAAGGAAATTTCACGGATGGACTTATTGCACAGGTGGCAACCTATCACGGTACCATGCTTGAATTCACTGAGCTCTTGTGAAGAGCTATTCTTTCACAAATGTTTGTAGAAGCGTCTGCATGCCTAGGTGCTTGATTTATACACCTGTGGCCATGGAGGTGATTGGAACACCTGAATCCAATGGATCATATATTTTTTATATTTTTAATTTTTAAATATTTATTTTGTTTTTGAATATTTCTTTCCTTTTTTTTCTCCTTCAAGAGGGGTCAGGATCTGGAGACCTAATCCAGACCCCCAGGCAGCTCGGCTGCAACAGATAACTTCTAAGGCTGGGTTCACACCTAGGCGTATCGAATATGGACGTTTGTCGTGCGTTCCGTGACACGTTTTACCGTGATTCGCGGTAAAAAACGCGTGACAAACGCGCGTTTCCGAGGGCTACTTGGCTGTAGCCCAATGGAAACGCTGGACAAAAAACGCCCCAAAGAAGCTCCTGTACTTCTTTGGGCGTAGGACGTTTTGTAGTGCGTTCATACGGTCTGTAATACGCCCAGGTGTGAACTATACCTATAGGAAATAATGGGATTTCGATGTTTGAGCGTTTTGTAGAGCGTTCGAACACGCTACAAAACGCTCAGGTGTGAACCGGGCCTAATCGTGATCATTTTCATGGCTGCAATTAGCCAGCAATAGGTCACTATACAAAACATTAATAAACTGTGTGATTTAGGGTACAAATGAGGTAGCAGTAAAGGAGAGAAAATCAAACCCTTTGAATTAAAACAAATATAAAATACCCCTTTCAGTCTCCAGTTTCTCTAACTCATGATGTCCCTGTAATCTCAAGGTCCACAGGTTGCTTCTATGGGCAACCATAGTATCTCTTTATGTTATAACACACTTTGAAAGTCCCGTTTTGCTTAAACTATGAATACTGGATTCCAAATTCAAATAAACTGATATCTATTCAGCAAGAGCTGATGATGATTTTAAACCGCACTAAAATAACTAGCTGCTGTCCCTGTGCCATTTTAAAAATGGCACCTGGAAATCGTGGTCAAATAAGTATTCCTCTAACACTGTATCTAGATTGGTACACACAACATTAAATAATTTCAATAAAATGAGAGCCTGAAGACATTTATGTTGTCGTCATCAGCTTTTCAGGAAACGTGGAGAGTTTTTTTTCTTTTTAACGTGTGTGGCCACTCAGCCTCAACATTGTCAAAACATAGTAGAATTTCTTCAGAAGAGGCTCAACTCCCATGAAGCAATCCCTTCATCTTTTCTGTGTATATGCAGTCAACGTAATGTAGTGGAAGGTGTGATAGGAAGAGAGGATCACCAACGCTCTGTTTAATTTGTGAGAATTGCTTGCTTTAACATGCCTTTTCTCCAACTGATGGTGTCTGCCTTCAGTGCTAGGTCTAGTTTGGGTATGCCTGAGCCTCACTTGGTCACTGAGACCAGCGTTCATGTTAATGACCAGCAGAGAGGCATGAAAGGTAGTAAAGAAAATGTCCTACTGCCAGTTTGCCATTTAAAGTTGGTATTTCCATATACTGATTGCCCCAGTTTTTAAAGCTCCTGTTGTACTATGGAGTTATTTTAACTCTTATTTATGCTGCTTTTTTTTTTTAAGCAAAACACAACATTCACTTTATGGAATAAATTATCCTGATCATATTTTTCCTAAGGCCTTAAAGTAGTGAGACGATATTATGAAAATGTTTTCTCCCAATTATTGGGATTTCTGCTATACTTGCCTTTTGTGCAGTATATGGCTGGGTTCACACTTAGGCGTATCGAATATGTGCGTTTGTCGCGGCGTACGTTTTTACCGTGATTCGCGGTAAAAAAAACACGCGGCAAAGGCGCGTTTCCGGGGGCTACCTGGCTGTATCCCATTGGATGCGCGCGGCAAATACGCCCCAAAGGAGCTCCTGTACTTCTTTGGGCGTAGGGCGTTTTGCAGCGCGTTCCTACGCGCTGTAAAACGCCCAGGTTGGAACCATGCCCATGGGCAATCATTGGTTTTCACATGTTGAGCGTTTTACAGAGCGCAGGAACGAGCTGTAAAACGCCCAGGTGTGAACCAGGCCTAAGAGATAAACACAAATTCAGCTGCACTCCAATGACAAAGAATTGAGATAGATATATTAACTGCTACTGTAGTATATCTTTTCAACAGCTACTCCCTTGAAAACCGCACCCTGCTTTTTTTTTGCTCTCAGTGTCCCATTTGAGAGATTTACCTTCACTTTCTTTCCTGTAGATTGCAGGAAATGAGAAGAAATCTATCCAAAATGAGCTCAATACACTCTTAGACACTTTTTACAGGAACAAGGTTTCCGTTCAAAATCTTTTCTAGTGACAACTCGAAACTTTGGATTTTCCAGGGCAAATAGTGAATCGGAACACAGCTATAAAAACCGGATGGGGGTTCTAATCCTTTTGAAAACTAAAAAAAAAGGTTTTGCCTTTAGATAATTTAAAGTGCAACTAAAGCAACAACTTTTTTTTTTTTACTTTTGGATAGAGTGGAAAGGGATTAGAACACCTGTCCGCTTTTTAATTGCTGTCTGTATCCCTATTAGGGAGATTCAGCCTCTCTATTTGTCATGGTGACCGTTATCACAGTCCCAAATTCTGAGTTGTCATCGGAACAGGTAAAGATAGTAAATCTTCCAGTGGGGACACTAGTTTTGGTGACCATGCTGGCCTCCAAGGATTTCCTTCACTTTGGAGGGATGGCCTCTTACTTCCTGTTGTGTCTGTTCCTGTTTGGGCCGTAAGTGAAAGGAAATCTCCCCAGTGGGACACAGGTGCAAAAATAAAAATGTTGACAGTTGTTATAACCCTCCATCACTCTATCCAAAACTACAATGAGATTTTGGCTTCCTTTCCGCTCGAACTTTATTTTAATTTTGACCAATATGGCCAAATCCTGAGAGATGCTATAACTTAGAATGCGTTTCTGTTAAAGTCTCAATACAAATTAGTAAACTAAACTTGAGATTGTAGTCCATCACGTGAGCGAGCTTGGAGCGGTTGCTAGTTTACAACACACAGGGACCATGGGGAACAAAAGTAGCCACCCTCCAGAAGGAAGGACACTGTCTGCACCAATTCAGAGATTTGAGGATCTACAGCCGAGCGACG